AATATACATCCACAAATAACCAAGTTACAGTGGCAGCATAACAGCAGTGATTGAAACTGCGCAACATAAAAGATAAATGACAGTTAAATTAATGCGTCTTGCATAGAAACCAAGTACTTTGATTGCTTTGCGATGTTACATGAAACCTTTGGCAGATAGCAGTAAATCATACAACTGAGGAAGTTTTTTTCCTCGTATTGGCATGAGGCCAGACATTAGCCGCGTTCATTAAAAGGTAACTAGGAAATTAACCGGGATTAATTTCAAAGAGTAAATTGGTAGATGCATTAACTTGTGTTGCAATGCACAGAGCAACCTGTGTTACAATGCACAGAGCACCATTGCTATGACCTTAAATCGACCTTCCAGCACCAATCAAGATGTCAATAGTAGAGTGCTATCGGGTTACTTTCTGTTTCCTTGGTGGAAACGATTTCAGTAGCAATGCGAACGAGATCATTAACATATTATATAACGGCTTCATGTGTAAAGCTGAAATGGTAGGAGCTGCAGACTAGAAGTTTTTCATTTATTAACTAACGTACATGTATAAATACAATGGGCTACTAGCATGCTCTGACAAGATATTTCAAACAGCACTGATCAGATAAGAATAGAACAGGAGTAGAAAAAAGGCACATTTTAAAAGCATATTTAAATGTACCCCCATTGTCATCCCTGTTTTATGACTACTATATCATATTTAACGAATGCCACAAATAATACAAACCTTTCTTCCTTCATATTCCATTAAAGAGGTTACTTGCTGAGTCTTATAAGCAATCAAACTAATGAAACAGACTCATGGAATTGCTCTCTTTTTTATTATTACCTTACGTACTCAGTGATCAAAAAGTAAGTCGTTCGAGAAATAATTGCGTACTTAAAATAAGTCATTAGACCCATCCATGATAAGCGATTTCATGTTTTACTGGGACTCAGTATGATAAGTATGGATTCGAAGTCAACGAACTCATTTGCAAAAAATATATGTATGCCATGATTTTAAAAGGCAAGCTTACGGATATCCTCTATATTGACAAAGCGAGGAAGTGATTTTTGCAACTATCAAAAACCGAGATCCAATGAAACTATTTTCACATTTGAAAACAAAGGGATTTTTGTTTGACAATAAAAGTATCAAATTTACATGAAAAACGCAAGAAATGTTTAAAAGACAGTTTGCAGCATGCTAACAAAAACCATGACAGAAAAATTTGCAACTTAAATGACCATTCATCATGATAAGTGGAAAGGTTGTATAAAAATATAATCAAGATTTGTTAGCAGTACCATATGAATAAGAGGCTATTTAATACCAAGCTGGGGTATAAACAAACACGCATGCATCAGTCATACTAAATAAAGAGACAACATTTAGGTACATGACTTGGAACTATAGGTGTATGCGAATGATATAGGATGCATTCATGCAATATTTTGTTTGCATGATTGTACTAAGTGTCTGTCTGATTTATGCAGTGTAAGATACAAAACAAGCCACGGAACGGTTGCAATCACTGAAAGTCTTAAAAATCAACAAGTGCGCACAGAAAGTTACTGTACAATATACTGTTGGAATAAGTTATACGCACTTCACGTCACTTACCTCAACCAGAGCACACAAACCAAGTCGTGCTTCTACAACCATTCTGCCACTTAATGCAATTAGCTGGTCTGCATTCTCTCAGATCGTTTATTCTTATGAAAGAATTTTTCTAGATCAGGCGATAAGGTTTCAAAACTGCTGATTTGCAAAGAAATTAATTTCCTGTTCAGTGTTCTTTTTCGGCACGCACTTTCTACTTCAATCAGTCCCTGGTCGTCTGAGTGATGTGCCCACGTTGGGAGATGCTGGTCGACTGGTCGTCGCGAACCGATTGCCAACACTCTGACTGCATGCACTCAGAATATGTATTGATCATTTTTTGCTATCTCCATTAGCCGTAAACATTTCTTGCAGTTCAATAGGGTTTTCTTACTTTAACAAATGTCTCTTTTTGTGAAGGAGAAATGTAAATAAATCATATTCCCCAATTGGACTGTATTGATACCTTCGATACCTCCTTCTAGTAACAAATCAAATTAAAATAATTTTATCAACAATAATTCAAGCAAATACAGATCTCGACTGGCTTTTTTTAAAACTGATAACCATTCAGTAGTGACTTTGTTGGTTAGCACATCAACAAATCTAATTCTTTCAGTGTAATTATTAGGGTAACAGTTCAAAAATGCTGGTTGCAACACGTTTTAATGCACGTAGGATGCTCCCAACATCAGGTTTTAATTTCTGTCTGTTACATATTGCCAATGTCGCATGCACAAGTCCCGTGAAAGATGGCTTTCTTTCAAACTGTCACCGCCACAAACCTAAGGAAAATTATATAACCAGCAAGACTTGCAACATCCTACATGTACGTATGCAGCATGAACCAGTTCGGCCATGCAGGACCATCTGCAAATATATATTCGTGATAGAGGTTAGAGTTGTTTGGTTCCTAAACCCCCCTTTAACCTGGACTGCCTCCTTTCTGCGTCCTTTGTGCGACCATGAAACTAGCAACACTGTGGTCGTAGAAAGGAGGCACAAGCATCACTTTGGTTGCAGAATAAATGCTCAATGTTCGACCAGTTGTCGGCACGTAAGGTATTATTATTATTATTATTATTATTATTATTATTATTATTATTCTACTCTCACACGGAGCCGTACTACGGGACGCAAAAAGAGCGTCGTCCAGTGTAAAGGGGGCTTAATACTATATTCAAAGAATGGAGTAGCCCAAATAGGGTGTCAGAGACTTAGACAACAAAACGCAGGTGCTTTCGGGATCGCTTTTTATTTCGTCCAATCATTCTTCCGTAATTGCTTAAATCATGTATTCTCTTAACTTATCTTTTTCCACTGGAGACAATCAGCGTTATTTCCTAAGTGCTTATGCGCCAAATAAAAACGTAATACTACGCATTTGCACTCGACATAATTGCATTCTATCATAATGGAGAGTGTTTAAGGGGATAACATGTTAAGTTCCATACGATCTTCTCCCCGTCAAACAGATAATAACAACCGTGACTTCAAGGAAATCACATCAAGGTCGTCTACCAAATTGTATATCGACAAAAATATAATGCTGCAGTTGCGCGTAGGAAAACATATTTTAATACCGAAAGTGGTGTTGATTTGGTGACATTATAGAGTGTATACGGTACGGCCCTTTGGGCGTTAACTAGAGAATTTTGACTTGATCCTTTTATTCCAATTACAAAACCGTTTCGTATATAATAATTGACGAAAACTGTGACAAGTCCCAACAAACACACACACAAACAAACAAACACACACGCACACACACACAGTTCCTTATTTACTTTGACAATCATAAGGAAACACATATATCACTTACTCAGATGTATGTATGTATGTATGTATGTATGTATGTATGGAAATAATCCACGCCATACCCCTCTCCCCATTTCCTGCTGCGCTGCGTCTCTAAGGTCGCATTTAAAACAGTGGACTAACTAGTCCAAGGGTCAAATATGGCCGACCCACTTGAATATTTCAGCACGGGATATCTATTAGTGGATTAGACAGCAAGCTGTTTAGTGGGTATTTGACCATATTTGACCCTCTGACTAGTTAGTCCAGTGTTCTGGATGCGGCCTTAGCCAGATTGTTGAGGATGTCCTATATCCCATACAATGGCGTAATTGTTCTAGGTCAAGTGTCCGAGTTTATATCAATTACGGATAAGGTCCCTATAAAAGTGCAGTTTGTTCGTTTCTATCACAAGGATTACATTTTGTTTATTGATGCTGGTAGGTTGTTAATTACATGTATATTCAAATATTCGTGTAATGAAGTATGCGGCAAGTTGAAACTTAATATCGCCACTGACGGGAAAGCAAGAATATCAAATTTAAAGCGTTCAGAATAACCACCTGAACCACTTGCAAACAATTATTAGGGCCATCATAGTAAATACACATATTTGATTTTCCTTTACATCCGAGTGCACAATCTTACTGTTGACGCAGGGTATGCGTTTTTTTTCATACTCTTTTCTATTTCTTTTAGTAAATATATACCCTTGGTTTCCGAGCATTAACGGTAGTTAGTATTGATATCCGTATTCATTTCAATTTATTTTTAATTTTTTTCAGTCATTTCAATCTCCATATTTTATTACTGACAGTGTCACTATTAATGAATGAGCTACGATTTCTGCTTGAAACGGAGTGCAATTTCTTTTCAATTTGGACATTTTCTTACAAATGATAACCGTTATTCCTGGATGACATTGATCTTTTTTATCTTTATTTGTGAATCGCTAACATGCTGCTGTATGGTAAAATGATGCAACCAATAACGTGCAATTTGGAAAAATAAATATACATCCAATTGTAGATTTGTACATTTAATACATTTGACTCAGTTGATTGAATAGCTGCTTTTTTTTAACAAAAAAAAGAAGACTTACATTTTACTCCAATTATTTCAACGCACCTAAAGGAAAATTACACTATTGGAATATTAATACGAATTTTTAGTTTTTAAATTAAAATTTTCCAATGTTTGACATATTAATATATTATAACCACATATATATTATATTATAATTATACCCTAGACATCCTAATTGTTTACATCTTTTCAAAATAGAGGGCAGATGTCGACTGACGATGGGACTTGCGTGAGAAAAATGCTAACAAATGTTTTTCTTTCTTTAAATGGGGCTAATTATTTATAGTCCTTAACCGAAATGTTCCTGTTTTACGCACTCCAACCGAAGTTACACGTGATGGTTCACATCAAGTTGGACCCTTCAAACCATTCACGCTCAACTGAAGGACCAACACCGTGCTATTTTCCCTCCTTTATTGTGCCCTTCACCGAAATATCATTCACGATTTTCCAAAAGTAGTTTAATGACATGACTTTTATTAATGACGGTCAAGGCTACCATTCTGTATAAATGGGGGTGATACCTGGGGGCCTGACGCTGGTACTGCAAGCACAATGGCCAGCTACTTTGCATTTGGTCTTCTTCTTTGCTGTTTGGTGTCTCAGTCTCTTGGTACGTACTCCATATTTTATACTTGTCATTCATGCTTTTTATAATTTCGTTTAATTGAAAGGTTTTTAACAATTTAAATAACCTTCTAAAAATATTTTGAGTCATTTTATACCTTTCTATACTAGAAAATTTAACTATTAGCATTCATTTGTCATTTTAAACTTATTACTGTTCTTATTAGATGAGGTTTTGAACATACGAAAGTGCTGTGTTGTTGATTTAATACGAATATTTTTCCAGGACTCTTGCTTACTGATTCACTTTTTTCAGGTAGAAAAGGCGATTTTTACGAACGCTACAAAGATGTAATGTTCAAGATACTGACCAATGAGACATTGGAGGAAGAATGGTATAAGCATCTCAGAGATTTCGGGGACCCGTACGCGGTAATGTCTAATTTAAATTGGACATAAAGCGCTTATATTCGTACTTGTAGTAATATCTGCTTTCTAACAAGGATATGGTTTCTTGTGAAACATAGTGTTGTTTTCTGAAGGATTGGTAGATTCTCAGAGGGCTTTTGACACCACACTTTATAATTGATTATGTTTTGGGGATAAAGTCTGTCTATCAACTTCAAAGGTATTGCCTTGCCATTATCGGGGGACTGGACATTAAAAACTGCATTATTGGTAGACGGTTAAGGGTACTGATGGTATAATCAAGATCGCTCTTTCTTTCCCTAAGCCCCAGTACGTGGACTTCCAGAGGTCAGATGAGCATGGCCGCGTCCGCCGCTCAATTGACTGCGGCAGCCAGGTATCTGAAACTGTTCCAACCTCAGGTAATTATGCTTTATGTCTGATCAACAATTTAATTGTAATGTGATTTTAAAAACAGTAGAACGGAGTAAAAGTGGTAGACAAAGACTTGCTTTCGTAAAAATTGACCATTATTCTATGATTGTCGAAAATCATTATATTATAATTTTTCCACGTCCCATTGACAGTTCACCGTCTACGACCAGGAGATATCAAAGTGGTTGCCGCAATGGGAGACTCCTTGACTGTAAGTTTCAGATACTTTTGATAACCTCTCACAAAATTCATCTCCGTGGTGTAACATTACAAAAACTAACATTACAAACTAATGTCTTGCCACCTGGTGTTCTCTGTTTTCTATTTTCATTTCCATTATCTTAATAGATAAAGAACTATGAATATTTTAAAACCTATCTCACGTCACTCGTTTTGGGGCAGAAAGCATAACAAAATAAGGAAACCACATATTAGGAGTAATATCATGTGAACTCGCTTGAAAGTGTGCAAGTGCAAAAGTACAAATTGCCCGACCGAACTCTCCCTCAGCAAAAGCGTCTGGAACATTTTAGGATAATCATGCAACTAATACATTGATTTACTGGCACTGTAACGCAATACTCAGACTCATTGCCTACGTTGGTACAAAATGCATTGTTATATAACACACTGTAACAAAATGCGTCTTAGTTTTGATAGGTTTACGACATTACATGACTTGCGTGTGACATTGGGGTCAACGATTAAACATTTTATTTTGCTTCAAAGCAAAGAGATTAAACCATAGATATTCCCATCTTTATTTGAAATGACATTTAGAGATTAGGGCTCCTCCTGTTCTTACGTGATGTTAACTTGCACAGTTTCGTGCAGACACACTTGGTGGGTGGGTTGAAGGTGACTCAAGTAACGAAATGCTCCGTGTTAACAATGCTGATATTTGAAGTGTTTGAGAGATTTTAGGAATTGAAAGGGAAAACAATTAAATTTAACAGGATTGTGCCGTGACACCTTCCTACAGTCAAATTTTAACTCCTACAGTCAAAATTAACATGAATAAAATCTCCTTTTGCCAGAACCATATTTGTATTTGTCTTTTACTAATACTTTCGCTTGGGTGAATGAGGAGACATAGACTATTTTTGTTCTTTTTGCTATATTATCAAAAATGCGTTTTTAAGTAATTAAAAATTTATTGGATAATATCTTTAAAATGAGCTCATTTATGATTTAAAGTGTAAATTTCTTCACCAATGAGACTGGTGTACTATCTATAAGTGAGGGTTTTGGAATAAGTGTGTCTATAAAGCAATATCGTTCCTCTCATTTTATGCACAGAAATACTGCACCTTAGTGATCTGTTTCTCTGCTTTCTCTGTAATGAATATTCAACAAGTTATTTCAATTAGACAACAACATTGTTATAGTCAATGGCAGTTCTAGTTAGTAACACAAAAAATCACTATTGAAGTAAACGGAAACTTCTCGCTTTTAAAAGAAATATACTTTTTTTCAATCTCTTATATTCTCCCTAAAATGCAATTTGTATATGATGCTGTGTAGTGGGTCTATTAAACGAGATTCAGAACACAAAGTCAGTGTCCTTTGGTCTTTAAGTTTTGCAAAATACATGGCATACCAAAGGTGATACTGATGACCAAGCTTGAGACACGTTGAAACTCATTCCCTGACTCATAAGTAAGCTTAGCATGCGCATCACCACTCTCAGCAGCTTCCGTTATAAAAATGCATCTCACGAATTACTATCATCTAGACATCTTCATTGCAAAACGTGCTGAGGAATGTGACAGTATCAGAAAAGAAACCTGAACAGTAAGTTCTACATGTACATAATCATCTAAAAGCGGTTTGTTGGACGCAGCATGGTAGCTAACTATTTAGCTGCAGAGTTTACATGTGATTTGAAATGTTTTATTTAATAAATTTGTTCGTCAAGCAGTACAATTTTTTTACTTTATATATATATATCTTTTTTTTTCAAAATCTCGAAAACAAGCAGCTTATTATCCAAAAATCCGGGCTAGGATAATCAGCTTATACATGAACACAAATCGCAATCAACACGACGGGGCATTTCCTACTGCGTGTTTTCACTCAATTAAAGAAGGATAATTATAAAATAATAACTACGGAGAAATGTATTCCAGATCGTGAAAGCCCTGTCATGACAAGTTAAGTTGCTGGAGACGTGATACACAGGAGCTAATTGGGAACTTTCTTGTCTGTTAATTCAGATCATTTACAGTTTCATAAACAGAAATAGGCTTATCATTCACGAAAGGGCTTTTTGAGGTGACCGTAAACAAATAAACATCATTATATGTGTATCTGACGAGCGATAGAGTGATATTCTAACGCTAACACTGTAAGCTTAATCCTGAAGTCTGTAATCTCTAATAATGATATACCTTGATTGAAGGCATTTCTCTGCACAGTGCATAATAATGTCACCTAAAGAAATCAATGTCTAGAAATATGAGTGGCTTAAAATGTCCCGTAAAAATCGTCGGAAAAATGTAAAAAATTTAAAAACAACGTGGGCCTGTAATTGGAGTCATTTTAGTATTTTTGAGTCCTTTTCAATGTGTGAATAAAGCACACACAGAAGAGCTGAAAACAAACCTTCTGTCCACGTACGAAAAGTATAATTCAGCATTCCAAAATGCCAGAGCATTTCTAAACTACTGTTATTACAAAGACAGTTTTTCCATAACTTTTGCCTGTGTGTTGACCGAAGCAACATTCCTGGAATTGCAAAAGATGTAGGGGATTTTAAATTAATTTCATTTTCCTTGGATAATAATGTGCGCAGCAGGTCATAGAGCTTTGGGACATACCGTATATTGTGTAGAATGTCATCCCAAGGTTACATGGGATAAATGTTAAAGGCACAACCTCGCGAAGACGCCCTCGAGCTGAGACCTATCGACATATCGGCAGAACACATACAATCTCTCTCTCTTTCTTCTCTCTCTCTCTCTCTCTTTCTCACACACACACACACACACACACACACACACACACCGCCACTTTCATTCATACACATCCTAAATGTGTTTTATGGTGGAGTCGTATAAGACCAGTGTAAATGGAATGGAGCTGTGTTCACTATAACGATACGTTATCCAGCATTGGTATTTCCAATTTTCAGAATGTCTATGAAATAAAAAGGTATATTTTCTGTCATTCCAGTATTGATTTTCACTTTCAGGCAGGGAATGGAATTCTTGCCTGGACGGTTTTGGGGTGTTTGACGGAATATAGAGGGCGCTCATGGTGGTAAAGTTGATTCGATTATCCGAAAAAAAAAACTAGCAAGTATTTAGCCTATGGATGATGTATATTTTAAAGCGAGAACATGTATAATAATTGAATATACCCTCCGGTACAAGCAGATAAAAATCCAGTGGGGGAATCTATTTCATTGAATATGTAAAGATGGTTGGCATTGATTTTTTTTTAGAATCGTATTTTTATGGGGTTTGATATCTGTTGCATTTAATCAAATATCTGTATGTTTTTTATTTTCATTTTAGCATCGGAGGAGATAAATCCTTGGGACAGGGAGTTGTCACGTTGCCTAGTAAGCAGAGAGCCTGATAACATCCATCGTCTACAATAAAAAGAAAACATAATATTCACAGGTCTTGGTGTAATTTAGCGTGAACTTGGGCTTATCATTGAATATGATGAAACACTTCATGGCTATTACATATCTTTAACCTTTTTGGATTGATTACCTCATTTCAGACATCCTTCGCGCAATGAACCCTGAAGTCCGTGGCTACTCTCTGGGCTACGGTGACGTAGATAGCAGTGGCGCCAACCTTAACGTAGCGGTACCGGGAAATATTGCACAGTAGGTCAAAAAAACCTAAAGTTGTGTTTTTTTTTCTTACGTCATGACATGAGAAAGGTTAGTTTTAACTCCCGTCACCTTTTAAAATCTGTAGGAAGAGAGTAAGAGTTTATGACGAAACGACGGAGCATTCATTTATTCTTATTACCTAGAGTATATCTGTTAAAAAAAGAGCTGCTGAAGTCGCTTTGCTCCCCCGATTTGACATTGTGAATATGCGTGTTTCTAGGGACATGCCACCTCAAGCAGAGAAGTTGGTCCGTTTATTGCAGGAAGATTCTGCCTCATTTGAACATGACTGGAAGATGATAACTCTCTTCATTGGCGGGAATAACCTATGTGACTTCTGTAACGATGACGTAAGCTACTTTTTATGTGAAAAAAAAAACATCATACGAGAAAGCCGAAATAACAAGCCGATTGTGTGGATATGTAAAAGCTTAGACTACATTTCCACAGATTTTAGATCGATCTATCCCCGTGGAGAGTCTCACTAGCTTACTGTCAGCTTAGCCGTCTTAAATGTCTGTCCCGCCTACTAAAAGCTGTAATGGGGTAATTAACTTCCGTGCGCGCTCGGCTGATAGCAATTTAGCGTGAACCCCCAGGGAGTTAGGTCGATCCAGATGGATCGATCTAAATCTGTGGGAATGCAGTCTTAGGCTGGTTCAACTGAATGAAATAAAATCATTCCAACAGTCCTGTTAGGTAGTGGATGGATGGATGGACCACCAAATGTTCATTCATTAATTCATCACTTATTGTATTTGTTACAGGCAATATTCCAATGTACATTCATAACAGCCTATCCAACTCTTTTTTTTCTACTTTTTTTTTGTTTTAGCATAAACACAGCGCCGGCGAATACGCCAGAAACATAAAGGCAGCCCTTGATACTTTGTACGCTTCCGTTCCGCGTGCTTTTGTCAACTTGGTGCAAATCTTCGATATCGGGCCAGTGGCTGAGCTCGGGACCGGGTTCATCTGTGGTTTGGTGCATGAGTAAGTACATATTTTATTCTTTGCTATTGTTATCTTTTCTATTGGTCATCTTGATCCATGTCCTTTTTTCAGAATTTAAGCCTTTTAAGTTTAAAAGTTCAATACGTTTCCATTAAGTTGACAAAATCGTAATTATCTCTAACATTTTGGGGAAGGGGGTGCGATTCTGAGACGTTGAAACAAAAATACCTCCTATAAGAACGATCTTAAAGTGATAAAAACGCCTTTAGTTCTGTATGCGGCTGCGGACATGACGCGCGTAATCGTGAAGCCTTGAGGGACCTTGCCCATCAATACCAAGCTGCCACTGAGGCCTTGATCAACGGCGGACGATATGACGGGAGAGAAGACTTCACTGTTGTTCTCCAACCGTTCCTACAGGAGACAACACCACCACGCAAAGTTAGTACACTGAAGTATTTCTCTCTCTTTCTCTCTCTCTCTCTCATATATGTATTATAGAACCAGCATTTATACGTTAGTATATTACTAAAATTCTCACATCCAAATGTTCGCACGCTTGCACATACACACACACATATACCCACTCGCCAAATGAGTCAGACATGCACGTTACGAACAAAATTACTTTCTATTAATCTCCTCCATCAATCGTGCATCGCGCGAAAAGCGTACTTTTTCTGGCCAAAGACTGTGACCATTACATTTGCTGCTTTTTCAGTCCAATGGAGATCCAGACCTGAGCTACTTTGCCCCCGACTGTTTCCACTTTAGTGGCAAAGGACAAGCAGCATCTGCCAAGGCGTTGTGGAACACCATGGTAAGTTATTCTTGGCTTCGAAATTACAGTTGAATGGACATTTGTTTTACTTACTTTCCCCTACTCGTACTTCAAAAGGATGTGACAAAAAAGATTTATTTCAGAGTAGGCTCTTCTCTCCTATTATTTCTAATACTACACTGTAAAAACAGTGTTTAGCTCTGAAACACATTGCTAAGCGCCTGTTTTGTCTCATTTTTTCGACGCGTTTAGCACCTAAGCACGTTTAGTCTATTAACATGTAACATGCTTTGACGTGTTTGACGCCTAATAAATGTAGGGTGTATTTGTTTAACTTAAAGGTGATATCGTTTTTAACTGTTTCAGTCTCACACTCAAACACACACACAAACACCCCATTCTCATAGATTAGATCGACCTACATTGGATCGACCTAACTCCCTGGGGGTTCACGCTAAATAGCTGTCAGCCGGGCGGACACGAAAGTTAATTACCCCTTAAAGCTTGTAGTAGGCGGGGACGGACACTTAAGGTGGATTATCTGACAGTAATCTAGTGAGACTCCCCGCGGTGATAGATCGATCTAAAAGTTGTGAGAACAGAGCCTAACACACGAAGACACGGTCACCTCTACATGCTATAGCTATCTCTACCTATAACAGGGTACCGTGAACTGTCACCAAAGTTGACTTCGCACCATAATTTTTATAGCGGGACTTATTCATCCTTGTGCTAACTGACCTTGCGAGGAAGTTTATTGGAATATATTTCTGAAAAACAAGTTAGGAAAATTCAATAGTTTACTTAAGACACAAAACAACTATCACTTTTACTTTAAAACATTTTTTTTTCATATTTTGATAAAATGCATTACTGTATTGATCTTCAGTTATTTTTTCCGGAAATAATGAACAATAGAACATCAGGATGATGGTGGGGTATACATTATAATAGTTTATTTAAGTTTTCATCGCATGCTGGTCATTTTGGTAACGATAGTCCGAATATTTAATAAATCGCACCGCTCTAGTCGCCGACTAACCTCAAGCCCATTTTGGAATTAACCGCTAACTGTAGTTCATACAGCATAAGACGTGTTTTGGTTATTTATAAAAAAGGTTTTCAAAACATTAAATAATGTTTTTCCAGAATGTTATAAAACGATAATAAAACTGCAGGGGCATCAGTTTGCATGGAGTTAGAAACACCCATAACGTTACCATAACGTTATTCTATACCATCACCATCATGTAACCAGCTGTTAACGTCGTGAAAACCTATAGGCCTATTTTAAATAATCACACGTTACTGCAAGGAAGGACACAACGCGTTCGAGCAGGCTGCTTCACGCCTCCAAGAGCTCCATTCGTTTACAAGAGGAAGTGTTTAGCCAAATTGTTGAGTCTTGTAATAAACTTGTTATGGGATCGTATACATGGGATTGTGAAGCATTTTCTTTCTGTGACAAGCTTGAAAAGCTAAACGTGTTGTTCAGCAGCTCCGCGCGTTAAGGAATTCCACACCTATAGCAGCTCCATATGTTTAGCAGCCTCACGCGCTTTGCAGGGGAAGTGCTTAGCCAATGTGCTTTGCTTGTAAAGGCTTGTTATAGAATCATATGCCGGTGAAGCTAAACACATAGCTAAACGTGTAACACTGCCAATGTTTCTAGCTTTTTCTTCTGTGAAACGCTTGAAAAGCTATACATGTTTAACATTTACACAGATTTCTAAATGCGTATAGGTGCCTAACGTGTGTTCTATGTATTTAAATGCCAAACACTGTTTTTACAGTGTAATGACGAATATCTGACAGATAGCTCCAGGTAAAGCCTATTGTTACGGCGGGCTCAGAACTAGCGCCGCATTTACTCCCCCTCGTTTGAAAGAAATCGTAGTTTCGCCACTGAAAATATTGAAGACATGTTGACATATCTGTATTTTACAAATACAACTTCAGTGATAGTCGCGGTCTCCTCGGTGTTACACTGAATTTCAGCGTGCTTTGGAAACGATGCGCTGACGATGCACTGACTTTCAAAGAGACTATTACTCGTAGTATATGTGATATATAAGTTCACATTTCAAAAGTAGATTGCTTCATTCTAGTTCACCAACAATCCTTAGATGGTCCCCGTCAATTTCAATTAATTAAATCACTTTTGTTTATTAACAAACATTCACATTTTCCAGCTTGAACCAGTCGGCAGCAAGAGAACCGAGTGGCGCTTGTCGGACAGCCTGATGTGCCCCACTGCGGTAAGTGCGACCGTACCTCATAGGCGCAACTAACGCAATATACTTCATGTGTTATTAGCCGACTTAAATCTGATACCGTATGTACTTGTAGTTCTTCCATTTATTCTATATAAAGTTCACTATATCAGTAGAAAGAATGTTTACAGATTCTGAGATTTTTGTGTTGTTAGAACCTGTTGAAATTACTAAAAGTAGGTACTGAGTGGAAAAATAACGAGCAGTTATCTTTTTAATTGTATCTGACTTAACTTAGTGTGTATTTTTCTTTCAGGAGCGCCCGTACCTTGCTACGGCAAGAAACAGCTAAAAAATTATTGCTGTGCAGCGTAATAAGTTATATTCACATTATGAAATTGCTTTTGATTTTCAAAATTATAGAACTATGGACTTTTGACAAGCAATTGGAAATAAAGCACGCCGAATAATAGATAAAAACCTTGCATATTGTGCGCCCCTAATTTAAACGATGGCCAAAAGCCCACATGCATAAATTTTCTATTAAGCAACTTCATTAGCAACATAAATATGTTAGTGAAATAATATGGAAGGCATACATTACTTCTAGATCAAAAGAACGTTTATATCTTTTTTCCGTCAACACTACAGTGGTTATTATATCTACGCTCTACCAGCCAAGGGGCGTGGTAGGTTATAGAACAATCACGAGGTGTCGTCTGTCTGTTGTCAAGTTCGTTTCCCTCAAGAGTCTAAGGAGCACTGCATGATACTGAAAGCGCTGAGTTTAGTTGGAAGGAACGAAGCAAACATAAATATGAAGTTTTATTGTGATCGTGATTTATTCTAGGCTTCTGTCATGTATTATTTACATCTTTTTCAGAATTTTTCCATCAAATAGTATAGAAATGTACTTGGTTCGATTTCGTTCCCGATTTACATTTAATAAAGGAGCTAACTACTATCTGTGCTACCGCAGTTTTAAGGGACAACCTTTAAAAAGTACATAGAACTAAAAATGTTACATTAATAGACAGGCTCGAGCTCGATCAAAAAATACTTCAATCATGAATGATTTCGAACCTTAATGTTAAAAAAAGGTTAAAAACTACACTGTGAACCACGAGGAAGTGTGTATTTACTCATTTTCTATCCCTTTTTGATTCCCCAAGCTAACAGAAAAATAAAAGTCCAGAGCCACTATATATTATTGTACATATACGTGAACATAACGTGACAGACTTGACTGTACAGTTCATCATTTGCTCAATAACAATAACAAGTGTAAAAAGATCCGATTCAAATCACACAAATATCAGTGGCGGTGGTACAGAACATGAAATCACAGTTGATATCTTTTTAATTCTATCTACTATCTCCACATACCAGCATCAAATATACAGTATTCTGAATATAGTAGTCATCACAAAGCGGACGCAGACTTAACACATATAAATTCAGATTCTAGACTGATAAGCTGTATGATGGCATGGACCAGTAGCCGTGTAAACAGCTGGTTGTCTTTTTTTATATATAAAACCTTATCTTCTCAATGGCCAAATCCAAATTGTCCATTTACGCCAGTTACTCAAATTAAACGAAATCGCATCTAAAAAACACAATTCACTTATGCGTGAATATATCGCTCTGTGACGGAATAAGAAGTTTCCACAAATGAGTTACAGCATAACCTCCCTGTTGTAATGGCCTATAATCAGTGGTATAGATCATAGAACGCCAACACGCCTCCCATGCCTACACATCACAGTTGACAAAGCTGATATTTGAAAAAACGCACAAGGCATATAAAGATATGAATATAAAAGGAAAGGTTGTTTTTCACCCCTCACACGGTCAGCCTAACTTCCTTAACTTCAATTTTACTAAATGATTAAGTAGTTGATTAGTTGAAGTTAAAGCTTGATTCGATGGTTTAGAAACCTGCTTCCTACTCTACCTACTATTTGCTACCACAAAATGGAATCCTTTAAGTTAATTTGAGCCGGAACTAATTGGGTTTCACGTTTCTGTAGTAACATATTTAAGGTTGGAAACCACAGTTTAGCGCCGATCGTTAGTATTAGCTATCATAAGCCATCTTCAAGCAGACAAGACAGCGCACATGCTACAAGAAAACTTCCCTGAGTCCGCACAGCTTTCTTTATTAAATTATGTCCCAAATAAAAATTAGAATTTAAAACGTGTGATGATGCAAACTGTAAAGACTGTAAATGAAGTATGCTGTGAGATATGGAGATGCAGGATTCACCCACATGAATTAACAACACCAAGCTGGTAATGTCGCTTTCAAGAACTGTTTTCAAACATTTCACTTCAACATGTAACTTCAGTCAAAATATTTTCCCGTGCTTATGGCTCCTTTTTGTGCCTAAAGCAAACAGAGTTACAGAAAAATACGTCTGTTTGAGGGAAATGTTATGAAGCATTAATTTTTAGTTATACATCCGTAGCGTGATTTGTCATAGGTTTAGTTTCCTCGTCCGTCTCTACCTCTATAGGACTTCGAAGTCTGTGGTTTTCTGTTGGCTCATCGTCTGCCTTAGAATGAATGCCATCACTTTCCTCCTCGTTAGAACACGTGAAACAAGCACTTGTTTTCTGCCTTACGCAGTCTCTAAATGCCAATAGTCGCGCTTTCCCACCTTTTCCTTCTTCTGGGTCGTCCGAATCGCTGTCGTCTGCTCGATCACTACCACGTGGGCTGGAATCGACGTGGTTACCACGGTGATTTGGGTCGGAAGATTCTGGGGGTTCGAAGGCTTTGCTGAACTCACGCTTTGGATCTTCGTCTTTCTTATTTTTCTTCTTATAACGTATCCAACACAAAACAAGGATAATGACGACGAGGAGGATGATAAATAAGATTAGGAAGACTGAAAATAACAGAAAAAAACGGCAAATTATACATTCCCTAGTTTACTTTCGACTAGTCAATGCATTTGTAAATATCTGATTTCAAACTAACGCAAAATATTGCCAACTTTATTCAGTAACTGAAAATTTAAGCCACTCAATCGGCACTATGCATGGAACATTCTCAGGCGCACTTTTCTTGGTTTACAAACGAAGCGTTTTCATTTTAACTGATCTCAAAAAATTTTCTGTTCCGAACAATGAAGATATAGATTAGAATACTACACCGATATTTGCTCTGAGACCCCATTCCCATAGTGTTTAGATCGATCTATCTCCCTGGGGAGTCTCACTAGATCTCACTAAATGTCTGTCCCGCCCACTAAAAGCAGTAAGGGGGTAATTAACTATAGTGCGCGCTCGGCTGACAGCAATTTAGCGTGAACCCCCAGGGAGTTAGGTCGATCCAGATGGATAGATCTAAATCTCTGGGAATGCAGTCCAAGCCTTGAACAAACGCCAATTAAAGGCAAGCCACCCGATATCCCAAATAAAATATGCATTATCAAAAAAGGAATCAAGAAGTTACATTTTATTTTAAAAAATGTGCATTATCTAAATATTTTAATAATATTCTGACTGTGTCAGTAAATACTAAAACCGTAAGTAGGATCAAATATATCATCGAACGACATTAAAGTTCTGGGGTGCAACAAGAACGTTATTTTCAACATATAATGCAGAACGCTTATCGAACGCATTAACAAACATGTCTGCATTCTGTACAGATGAGCAATGGCGAATGTTTGTAAACCAATGTTGCGCAACTATAAATAAACTAGTTGGTTGATACATTTCTTTATACAAACAAGGGTACAAAACGATTCCAATACAAAAAGATTTCCAAATATTTGCAAAGAAATGAAAAATATGCGGTTATCCAGACTGTACCACTTGATGCTCTTTCGGCCAATATCCTATACCTCTTGTGTGCTAATGAATTTTATATAGAACTAAAAAGCCCCTCTACGTGACTTTAAGGAGAATTTCGTGATGGTATATGACGAAAAAATGTCACATAGTGGCCCTAAACAGGTACTTAAACTGTGCCAATCAAACATATAGAGCAATAAAATGTGTAAATATCTCTACCTGCCGCTGTCAAAGTAGGTAAAAAGTTTCATGTTGATACAGAGATCTACAAAACGTGGGTATACAATGGGAATTAAGTAAAGGCAAACCTGAAGATCACAGGTATTATATCATGGAAAACTACTTTAACAGAGATGGTGAAGTACACGTATGACAGACAAAACCCAGGAGAGATGAAGCGGGGGGGTTACATGATCAGACACGGAGTTAGAAGAACAATGCATACATTAAGAAATGCCCCAGAGAAGCTCATGCTTGTTTTGACTTCTCACGAAGACTTGACTTTCAATCAATCTACGGGAACTGAACAGAAATTCATTATATAAGATGTGAAGAAGACCACTGAGCTGATTAATCTAATTATCAGAGAGGACGATTTTGAATTCAACGGGAATTCAATCACGAACGCTTGTTTTGTATCTGTTATCTTAGCAAAGCTGTGGACGTGATTTTGAATAACATAAAGAACTATCAATGTATGTTATCTTATCATTGTTGAACCCAGTTTAGATGATGTACCCAAAATTAACTTGCAGTTTGATCATTTCTTGACTTACTCAAGACCATCATGCATTTTCAATCCAGCAAGTCTTCGGTGGACAAGAAAGTTAACGTCAACTCAGGTTGCTCTATTGAAATACACTGTACAAAGCCCACGCTTAAGTGTTAAATGCTTTGAGTAAAGACGCTTTCATTAACACCTGTGCTAATGATATCTTATTCTTAAACCTTGAATAGCATGAATGATTAAACCGACGCAAATTTTCTATACACCTTCACTCCTCTCTGGCATTATCTTACCTATGAGCACTGTTCGTGATGTGTTGGCAGCAGCAAGTTCCGCGGCCAGTGGGTTTGGAGCTGGCAAAAAGAGAGAAGATTCCTGATTAGGTCAAATGTCTATTTAAAACGAACTTGGTTCATTTTTTTTTCAAAGGGAACTCATTTAGAAAAACGTAAACAAATAAGCAAAATTAAATCACAGAAATACCTCCATAAGAGGCGTGTTATTAATACTGTTGACAAATTCTAAATTCAGTAAATTATATACAAGCATAACTGTAACATATCTTAATATTCCGGTAAATAGTGAAAATTAATGCCAATTCAAAAATTAAAAAAATTGCACGACACTGAACTTCGGTTCTTAATTTCACAACTTTTTAAATAAACTTGAGGCAAAGCAAAAAGCAAATAAAAGTAAAACCTAACAAATGAAAATGTAGCAATCTAACAAAATCTGAAAAGGTAGAATCATTTAACTTCGCAGAGGCAGCTAATATGAAAAGACTTGGACTTTGTATATTAGTTCACATTTTTTCACAGCCAGAATGCTTCGATGCTGAAGAGGCTCTTTTTAGAATGAGATTTTAAAAAACTGATGAGTCATCGCTATCGTAGAAGCAAACTAGTAGTAGTAAACGAGCCTCCCACCAGCTACAATCACGACTCGCAGAAAATACTTCACATCATATTGGAGGTTAATCGATGTTAGGCTATAGTAGGGCTACATTTGCACAGATTACAAAGTAAGAATTAAAAAAAAAGATTGGAAAGATAATTAATACACTTAGAAATAAATCCAACTAAAACCTAAAAATGAAGAACGAAACATATTTCTTTAAATTTGACAGATGAGATGACATCAGCTACGACAGATAGCACTGCAGACTTCACAAACCTATTGATTTACTTACTTGCATGCACTAGTAAAAGTCGCAAAGAAAAAAAACAAACATCATGAAAACAACTCTAATTTTAATAAGATTTTGCTCAAGGTATATATATGGATTAGGAGAGTTATTTTACATTCTGTAACACTGACTTAGCTTTCTGCCATGCGTAGAACTCTCATGCAGCCGCACTGTAGTAGTAGAGTAGTAATTAGTTACATGGATGAACATACGTGCTCCGATATACTTCAACTTTACTAATGGTGAATTGACGATTAAAAAGAGTTTTGTTATTCCATTTGAAAGGGTAGAACAACAGGAGAATAAGACTTGACCCTTAAGAAATATACATAAATGATAAAAGTCCATAATTGAAAAGTTTGTGCTAGTATGTCATTTGCAATTGTGTTTAAGATGGCTTTATACGTTTTGACTAAATTCATATTCGATTCTGTCTTATAGGAAGCATATGTCGCCTTTTTTTCAAGTACACCCAAGCCCTTTGGCGAACGAGCACGGACCTGATTTATTGCAAACCCCTAGGTTACCTCAATAAGACTGTCACAGTGGAAAAGTTATATTATGAATAAGCCAGAGACATATCCGTGAATATCTAGTGAAAAATCAAACTGTGGCCCTGGTAGTGGGTAAGGTTACCCCAGTGTAAAACCAGAGTAAATTGCGCAGCGTCAGCTATGGAAGTAGCCACAAAGGGTTTACATAAAGGGGGGCTGTAATCATACAGTTTCGCACCAACACTGGGTACAGACTAAACCCGATATCAAGTTGTCTTATGGTACGCTGCCCTTGTCACCCTGTATTGCCCCCAACTTAAAGAGTTTACTGCTCTCTTGACTTCTGCGGAAGAGCAGAAAGATAACCGTCCGGACGTCTGAGCAAATATGATACTGATGGTAAAGCTGTTTAACCAATAAGTGGACGAATATGGGTCAAAGCATTGATTTCCTGCTATCAATTATTCAGAAAATCAACTTTACGCCGTTACCAAAGTAGAACTGGGCATCGATACTAGATAGCGCCTCAATTAATTTACATGCATCCTCATAGGTAACAGTATTTGATGTGATATTGTTCTAAAGACTGGTGAGAACCGTATATCAATAATAAGTGTCTGTACAACATATTATGTGGGCGTATCGTTGTCAAGCTTACATTGCTTTGATGGGGAAATTATGATGTTTTTGTACTCGATATACCTTATGATACACACTGCCCATGTTAATATTACACGTGACATGTAGGTCAAATGTTGCAACATAAGGGATGAGAGAACGCACGCACGCCCATGCCTACGGGCCAAGTAGCCTCTGGAGACGGGCGTATGTCACTTTCGGCGGGATTTGAGGTGCACTGCATTACCCTCTGCATGAGGCAGTGACTCTCTGTCATTGTGAATAATGACGTAATTAACACATACATAATATCGAAAAGCGCTTTTTAATGCAAGGTAACTTAACGCATCTTTGGCCTGCAATGACGGACACATTAAACAAATAAACGGTAAAAATTATAGTCTGTCAATGAGTACCATAAATCGCTTAAAGCGGGCAAATTTAGCTTTCTTCACATTAATGTAGGTAAAATATATTTTGCTTTGGATTGGATTTTAGCGTGTTAGGGATAGACTCTTTCGTCTTGCCTAGCATCGAAACCCCTAATTTGATCTGCGTAATCTTTCTCACTGATTGTGGTATTTATTTGAAGATTAAGTTGCTATGACATGGTTTTATCAATCAAACGACACTGTCAACAGGCAGGTATACAGATATTCCTGTCACAAAACGCATAAACGGAGACGGCGGTGACAGTTAGTTTTCGTGCAAGCATGGTCTGTATCACGGGTTCCCACGTATGCTGAGACAAGGACCCTTGTAAGATGACACAGACCATAATACAGAAGAGAATGATCTTTCAGAGTTGACCGGCGGCCCATTGATTTCTTCAGTGATCACTGAAATTTCAAATTTAATGTTAAAATTACACCCTTAATTATATTTATCCCCGCACTTTTGGGACAAAAGTCAGGGATCATGTAATCTTTGTTTATATCTTCATACATGTAACGATGTTGCGGAGCTGGGGATTTACGTGTATTTAGTATATGTTATTGCTTCACATCCTTCTTTACAACATCCTGATGTTAACGCACCCACATAATAATTTCGACATAAAACCAACTGCATTTGCATTTGAGAATAAATAGCAACCTGAGACCAGCGACGTGCTTTGTATAAATTAATTTCTGAATATAAGCATTTCGTTTGCCTTTAAATAAATGTCAGGTTAATGGGTTATCCTGTTATACAAAGTCCCACTCCCTGTTTAATAATCCCATTACTTCTCATTTTCTCATCCCAGTGCCCCTAAAAAAAGTTGCGTTGATAAGTTATGTGATATTAACCACGGCTGCAATGTCACGGTGACAGGGAGTGCCACAGAACAAGGCTTTCTCCTTAGTTAATTTTCTACAATGTCATGCTTAAACATTTTATATCATTTCCGACTCTTTTATGGAGACTGATGCTGTGCTTTTGATAAACAGCACTTCAAAGCATATCTTCTTAGACATGAAACCAATGTTTTTTTTTTCTTAAAAAAGGTGTATTGTGTGACAAAGAAGTCAATTATTTACTGATATTGGTTTATATCACTGTTTAAGTACTGCTCTTGCTGATTAGAAAAGTACTCTTTGTAATGAACTGCAATTTTGGAACCAAAGGTGCACTGGTTAAAAATCAATTAAAAGAGAGCTCGGTGGCTTTCCAGAAAAACAAGAACAACCGATCAAAGCACCTGTTGATCCAGAATACGATACATGGATTTAAAGAACTATCACGGGAAATCAGGGTATTGTCGTGTTTCTTTTATCAAAAGATGAGCTATGTGTCCTATTGCATTGCTCGCCGTGAAGCACTACTAACGGACGCTGACTTAATCATACTCTTGACTGCGTCTTTTTAGCGAAAAATGCGGGACTGTCATAGCACTGTCATAACCTCTTCGTATGACGGAACCCGTTAAGCAATGGAATGGCACGTCTAGACAACATATTGACCAATGTCGCTTGTCGAGGGTCGGTGATCATGACGGTTGAAGAGGCCACAAATATGTCAACTAGGTTGACATTAACAATACCCCTTTATACATTACAAGCCAAAAGTAGTATTCAAAAGCAAACATTGCTAGTCATTTTAAACAGCCGGTTTGATGCTACCAAAAGTAGCCAACTTTTTGACTGGCCACTAAAGAAAGAAAAAAGCAGCTCTAAAATGTGATCGATTTAAAAGGCAATATTTTTTTACGTCATATAGACAGTAAGCAAGTAAATATTTACAAAAAAGTCGAACTACAAAATGTTATAAAAGTGAGTAAAGCAAGGGTAAATCCATGTATTCTATTTCAGAGGAAAATATAAATAGGCAATGTGCTCGGTCCCAAGCATGAATTACTTTTAAAGGTTTGCGGGTGGCACGTCACGTATTTCCGCTCTTGACATTATCATGTAGATAGTTGCAACGTTACCTAATCTCCACCTGTCATTTATCATAAGCAGTAGGTGCCACGTTAAACAATTGTCCCGCCGTTGTTCAAAGCTCAAATCATAAAAACAATTAGTAAAATTCTTACTTTACAAACTACCAACATTAACGGCATCAGCAACAGGTTATCAGCGGGCAGTGCACAGGTTGCTAACAAATACATGTATTAGGGTGAAATGCATGCATTAGAGGGGTAGTCCGTCCTCAATTTCTGATGTCTTTTCCCCTCTTCCTATTTCAGGATTATGTGAACAGTGACACATTCACCAGGTCTTTAACCCATTACACAGCAACAGAAAGTACACAACTATCTTATCAAACGTCATTTTGTGACGTACCTATTCAATAAACGCATTACATTACCGTTTTAAAAGCCCGATTACCTAACGTATCAAATTGCAAGCTTAATTCATACTTAAAATGTTTGAATTAAGGCCTATGCAAGTATACGTTGAATTACTGTTTCTTTCAGACCTTTGTGATCTTTAAAGGCAGAGTATGGTTATGAAATAAGAGCACGCGATTCTGTTCAGTTGAAATTCACTGAGCCAAAACGCAATGCAAATTACCCTTAAGCCAGCGTTTTGATTGTAAGGTTAATATATGTTTATAATTGTCCAGCCTTAATTGAGCGGCGAGTACATTCCTCGCGATTTCGTTACACCCGAGCAAGCCTCTACTTTTCAATACACTTTGATTTTTGCTGTGTGGTGGAAACCAATAATCAGATCCAGATACATGCAAAGCCCACCTGCAAGTCCTGACCATCCATTAATGCTTAATTTACATTTAATAGACTGCTTTAAAGTGAAGTATTCTCGCAAACTTCAGTGCCTTAAGTAACATCCTTCCTTCGCTTGAGTGGCACTATAACCGTTGTCTAAAAGCTTTTAAGAAGAAAATAAATTAACGATAAGATGCCTTGTTTAAAAAAATCGCACACCTGTTTGTAAGGGTTTATGGGACTTGGCGCTGGTATTGATTAGGACTATTACAGGTCGTCAAATATTGATACCGAGTCTCCAGTATCAGATGAGTGTTATTTGGCTATCTTTTCAACCCAGATGCCTTGCACTTAATTAAATGCTGCGATAGAGTAATTTTGTGCAAGTTTTGTTCGGCAGCTCCTCTCAACGAACTCTGAACTCTATCAGATTTAATGTCTTCACAGTACAGCCTTCATTGCGCTAACAATGCCCAACAGTGTCCAGTTTAGGTTGGTCCACTGATCCATGACGCTGAGCACTACACAGAACTTATTGCTTTTCCCTAGAAGAAAGGTAAGAACAAATCCTGACTTACCTATGACGGGAGGAGGCGCGCGACACACTCCATCACGCATGCTCAGAATGTAATTGTTCCAGAACGCCATCTGGACGTGCCTGTACTTCTTGTGGCTGGAATGCTCATTTAAATCTGTCGTAAAGACAAAGTAGTTCTCATTCTTTGCTGTGAGTTTCTCCCATTTGGCTCTATTCTGCAGGTTACCAGGGGAACTTTTAAAGAAAATTATAAGAAGTGAATCAATATTGAATGATAAGATAAGGATAAGCATTTTCTTTTCTACCACATGCAACCCTTTCCTATTACTGATATACACGATGCAAATATCTCCATACGTCCCTTTTATGAAGTAAATAAATGATTAGTAGGTAAAATGATTAACTTCATTTTTGCTGTTAATTAGCCATGTCTCTTCGTACTGACGAAACTGAAAATTTTACAAAGCTAGGTGACAAAGTGACATGCGGTGAAATAATATGGTGCACAAATATTAATCACCAAAAGCGATTACAAATGAAATCGAAGATACAAAGCTAAAATTCGATACCACTTACTACATTATCTCACTGAAATCTAAAATCATTACACCAAGGAATTTTGAAATTTGCAAAAGTTAAGGATAGCAATAATAACGATGAAGGAAAAATAACCAAAGAGCACACTATAAAGTCTCTCAGAGGAAACATCTGTTTTTGTTGAAAACGTTAATAACGTATTTTATGGGTTTACATTTGGTACCAAAAAGGGTTGATTGAGTCCAGAAAATGCTTCTAAAAGGGAATTCATATAGTAGTAGGTTTCATTTTACTTTCATCTAAATTGTCTTCTTCCGTCTGTAAATAAAACTTTTATAGCCATCCCTACCATACACCCGTTTACATGCCACTGATTAACGATTCAGATATAGCACCACAATATTTCAACTGTCCAAGAGAGCCCAGGTGCTCTAAATTAATAATAAACAAACAAAAAATGCTTAGAGTTGTTCTAACGCGCTCTTCCATGCAACTTAAAAGCACTTTGATCTATTGCAGCCCCTTTGAATATTAACAGCTTTTGACGGCAAGAGAAAAGAGCGACTAAGTTTTGATTGATTCGGGGGCCCAAAGCTCATACCTGCAATCCAGGTGTGAAAGTACTCGGATATAAATTATAAGAGATATGAATCGTTTTGAAGTCACGAGGCTAGGTTAAGGGCTATCACTGGCTGCGCATAACTGACATTTCGACACTTAATGTGGCCCATTAGAAAAAGAGTTTTTACATGGTCAATACAGTGGGCTGGCTGTGAGGCTTCCCCCATCTGATGCATTTATATACGTACGTCTTGTCCAAATCATTACTTTTCACCAGGGGGTCTTTACCAGGTTCAACGGCCAACAAACTCTCCTCCCAGCCGTCCATGCTCCTGGAAATATACTTCATAATTCAGCCTTCCTTCTCACATCTCAGTATATGAAGAAGATGATGATGGGTTTGGTGTCCCGTACACGCCATCATAGAACGCTGTGATTAATTTTTTCCAGACTGAAAGGGTTATCTCAGTATTTAAATCAGTGCATTCATGGAAAAGCTGTATTACGTGCCTATACTACAAGAATAGAAGAAACACCCTTCACCAACATGCATCCTGCTTTGGGTTAATTTTAAGTAGCATTCAGGTTAAAAGGCAGTTTTTATATTTAAAAAATATACTTCATGATTATCTACAGCCGCTGCACTGACACATCCCTGTTTTGTGTCTATCATTCGTCTGGAATTCTCCTTTTTTGTCAGATTGCGCTCCTCGTCTGTGGGTACTTATTAAATATCAAACACCATATACGCTTGATGGGATTTTTAATGGACAAATGGAGTCGCGCGGAGTGTGAAGATGAGCTCGTTCACTAAAGCAAGGCAAAAAAGCTTTTCTGCTCTTGCACTGAACACTAAAATATTGCCAGAAGGCTTATATCATTTCAGTGTTGGGCACTTAAACTACTGGGTGTGAAGAATGTTATACGTTTAATCCATTACTAAGTCAGGTAACCACCCTCGACTCCCTATAAAAATAGGCCGCCAAGATCAATACTTGTAACAGGCCGTTTATGTATCACGCCGCTGGGAGGTCAAATTGAAACAGTTGAGCACAATTATGGTTGAATTCGATCTTTTCCCCTCAAGATACGAAATCTATTGGAACCAGAAAAGCAGGCAGAAAAAGCGTCAAGACTGGAAATGATACACTAGATGCGCAGGCTCGTGTCGGCACTTTTGGGTTACTCATGCAATCATGTCCTTCATGAAGTGTATCGCACATTTTTTGTTGGGTAAAACAATATCACCAGTCCCATTCCCGTTTCCATGCCGTTTAGATTAGAATAACCGCTTGTAAATTGAACGTAAACCTCTAGCAACTGTTGAAATGCGTACGCGGTCAGCCAGTATTTGCAAAGTTGGAGTAGTGATAGTATTTGGTGGCACTGACTGGGTCATAAGTTTTGAATATAAAGCCTAAAATTTAAAATAAAACCCAGCTTTAAACAGTAAGACCCCCCTTTCACAGAGTAAAATAGCACCTGTGGCTTGCCTAGATATACCTAGCATTAGAAAAAGTTCGAGTGTAAATACTCATCTGCCCAGGCAGCACTAAACAGGGGGCTATTTGGAAATTTGGACAACCACGGTTTCCAATTTAGACCAATCTATTAAGTGCTGAGAGGTGGGTGAAGCATGCAAGGCTTAGGTAGGTATGATAAACCCAAAGGGGAGCGTTAGTGTGGGTAGTCAGATGAAAGATCTTCCGTACCCATTAATATGTTTATGCAGCAACAGGTGTGCGTGGAGGAACAGTAACAGAATGATGAATATAAAGCTAGCATGGATGTGCCAAAGCTAAATAAAAACTGTGCAAATAAACCCCTTATCAACTAAAACAGCAGAAGATAAACATCACAGCATGAAAGCGGCTTAAAGATAGTTTCGATAAGAAATGGGGAGCATGCAAAATAAAGAGTTAACAAATGCAAAAGCGTCTACTAATGCAGGCTAAAAATGCAATATGTAATGCATAGGCCTACAACTTGGTGCACGTTAGGAATAAAACGTTAGTTCAAAAATATTGAATGACGCCAGACATCTGGTCAATACTGAGCTGAAAAAGAGAATATTTTATATCTTTCTTTATTAATTGAGTACATGCCTGCTCAGAAATATTAAAACTAAGACGCTCTTTAAAATTTGGTATGAATCTGAAAAAAAAAAACGCAATAAAATTAAGATAGATTTACAAGAATCAATCAAGAGATATTTTTATGATTACACTGGTGACAAATTATCAAGGTAACTGAATGCAATAAAATCTGCGATTCAAGGTTCTGTCTTAGGACTTGCTTGTAAAGTGTTTAAATGGTGGTTATTTGGTCATTTAATTAAAAGAGACAATATAAAAACATTATTTGAAATCATGTGTGACAATATTGTTAATATCTTGGACAGCAGCGACCAGCCTCCTCCTACCACTGTCTATGGCCCCTGAAATACATAATAACTCTAGTCAGGGCAATACAAAGGGTCAACTGGACTGAGAGGGAGACTCGCTGTTTAGTTGATTAGATTAACCTGCATGGCCATTGTTGTAGAACACATCCAGTCGCAGTTTAAATCAGAGAAGTTTAGATTGGATTAGATAGGTACAGCAGTGGAGCCCCAAATAAAAACAGGATGAATGTTAACTTTAAGCGGGACCATGCCCAGCTTGGGACGGTATGAAGTCAAACTATCCTGATCATCCCAAGTTTTATGAATGCACCTGAAATTGCCGGAGGAAAATACAATGTTTTATTTCCATCAAATTTCAACTCACGTTTACTTTTATAGAACACAAGAAAAAATGACAACATTAACGCTAAAGCCAAAGAGTGTGTTTTGGTAGTTAAATGACGTAGACTATTTTTAAAGTCCATCAAATCATCGGAGGTTATTATTGTCCAACTCTTAAGTAATCCACATTTAAATATTCCCCACCAGACAACAATGGAACATTATTTGCCCGAGGAACTCCATTAATACTGGAATATGTATCTTCCATAACCTTACTAAGCAAATAAGCCCGTGTCACGGAGTGAGTTGATTAATGCAAAAAGGAGAATATATTATCGGCGTTAGTCGAGTCCCAAAAGTCTTGTCCGACTTCAATTTTACACGTGAATCCCTATTCTTAGCATTTCTTTTAATCAGTTAAAACATGTTGGCCATCTTTTCCTAAAGCAGGGCTTGAATAATTTATCTTTTGTATAGCATAAAATCGAATTTTAGACACACGAAACTCTAAGCAAACCGGCGCAGTTCTATACTCAGGGGTGCCACATTAAGTTTTCAAAACAGATGGGAGGACTAGACTCGTCTTTTTTTTCGAAGTCCGAATAAAAGACGAGGGTCTTGGGACCAACTTTACCTTAAGGCTGGGGTGTATAGTAACCACCTGTAGAAAATTGTAAATTGAGATTAGTGTATAAATGACATTTTGTGACATTAAAACAAGTAATAAATGGCGTGTTGATGAGAAATTATGCAATTCCCAAGGTAGGGGGGCAATGTCTGTATGTATTGGGGTGGGGGTGGGGGGGGGGCGGGGGCGGTTACCCACTTCCCCAAATGAATCTTCATACTATACTTACTTCGTTTTAGCAAATCTCGTCCAAGCTCGCATCATGGCTACGGAAAGCTCATGGTCTTCAGCAGTGGTATTTTGTATTACGTATTTCATATAACCAAACACATAGTCATTTTCATCAGCGTGCGAGGCCTGAACAAAAGACGGAATGCTTTCGTTTGTGAGTTTATAAGAAGGGCGCTGTGAAAATTCATAAAAGTAAGTCACAGCTCCCGTCACTCTGTGGAGTGTTGCTGCTAAGTAGCTGGGGGCACCGATCGTATAGTCGGTCAAAAAATCAACCAGGGCAGCTTTTCTCTGAGTGTCATTCTGCACGCACGTGCTGTACTCCATCTCAGTCACCTTGGACACTTTGTCCACCACTTCTTCGTAGTCTCTTTTAACAGTATCCCGAATAGTGTCGGCAAGAATTTTTTGTGTTACCTCCTCCTCGGGTTTTAGATTTAGTTTATTTTCATATACAGGAAATCCATCGTGGCTATTGACTCCTATGACGTAAGGCACCAAGTTATAGGACAATGTGTGGAAAGTCGATAGGGGGTCACCAATGATAAAGTCACCATCGATGACAGGTAGCCACTGGTCATTCAGTTCTTCGGCCACCTGTCTAGAGATATTTAATAATACTTTTACATCAACCTCGAGTCTTAAACAATCAGCTTCCTCTATTGATGTGTTTCGTGTGCAATTCAGTCGCTCAGTCAAAGTCCGAGCCATTAGAGTGGAATTGTATTGTGTGATGTTAGGCATGAGAGCCACTCCGCTTTGTGATATGGATCTGTGGAATAGGGTTTTACTGCGAGGTGACAAGACGTGGAATGAGACAGAGGCACCTCCGGCGCCCTGACCAAAAATTGTCACCTGGTTGGAATCCCCTCCAAAGTGACCGATGTTGTCCTTCAGCCATTCGAGGGATCTGAGTTGGTCAAGTAAACCGAAGTTCCCACCCATGTTAGCGTACTCGGAGCTAAGGAATCCTAGTACACCTAGTCTATAATTGACCACGACTATAATCACGTCCCCCTCCATTGCTAACCAATGCCCCCCATACATCATGGAGGAGCCTTGTTGAAACCCTCCGCCATGAAAGTACACCATGACAGGGAGTTTGAGCTCGGCGGGATTGACCCATTTCTTCAAATTCCTTGGCACATAAATATCCAGAAAAAGGCAATCCTCACTGGTGAAATTGTGCTGAATTCTAGCTTTAAATACTTCTGGGTTCATCCGTTGTTTCCACAGCGTTGTATTTTGGGGGCAAATATTTCCATGTTCTACTACATCCATGATACGATTCCACCCTAAGTGAGGTACAGGGGGGCGAAATCGTAGATGTCCAATAGGAGGAGCGGCATATGGGAGACCAAGAAACTGACTGATGTAGGCTTTGGGTTGTCCCACTCCTTTTTCTACAACCTCCCCTCGCACTTGGCCGCTGTTGGTCGCAATAATCACGTAATCTTTCAGTGCCCATGTCACCGATACCGCAGTAGTCAAAAATACCAGTAGGTATAGCACCGTTGAAGCTACGTTATACATGTTTTAAAAGTCAACCACCTGGTTTGATGTTACGATATGCTTTTTAGAGTTCCCAACTTTTACCTTACTTACAGAATGCCGCCACTATTCTTACCCATAACGGCTCAGGATGTCGTCAGCTGAATTCCACGCAAGGCATGGGAGCGGGGCGGATGTCCTCAGTTCTGCTGAAAAAGTCCGAGAACAAATCCACAACCACGGTCCTCCTTTAAGTCCTGCCAACGCGATAGTCTACCACAGGTAACAAACGACTTGCGTGACCTACATAGCCTCTCTACCTGTAATCAAAAATAGAGGCTGGATTATGTTTATTCATGACGTATATCAAGTGACGCTAAATCAATGGGGTCAACACAATGCCCCCTGGTGTTGACTCTACGGAGGAGAGGCATAGATATTCCCGCATTAAAAGACAGAGAAAGAAAAACAGTAACATGCAGCGTTAAAATAACATTTACACATTTGAATTTATTTTCAAGCACAAACGACGTCGGCCGTTATTTTTGTTTCTGTCCTGAAATCACATAACACTGGATTCTAAGTCTCGTTAAGCGGATTACTTGCAGTATTGTTCGGTCGAAACACGTCTAACAGGCTCTTTTGTGATTGAAAGGACTTTAAATAACTATTCCTCTAAGTGCGAAAAAAGACTTTGTGAATTTTACTATAATGAACAAAGTTTCACAAGTTAACTTTCATTATTGAACAGGACGCAAACACGGACAAATATCTCAAATGTTTCTTCAGCTGTGACGCATTTTTTAAGTCAATAGCTAGTTAAAATTCTTCAACTGGGATAATAGAGTTCTAGGCCCTTTTAGGCATTATCCGAACAAAGTTGATTAAAGTTTCAGGGTCAGGACTTAAAAAAGGAAAGTATATCGTAAAGGTGATGCCATTTCCCGGCCGGTTATGTTACCCTGGATTGAGCCTATTAGCCGACTTGACATGACATGTTTGTAACTACGATCCAGCGTAAGACATCTTATGTTGGATCTAACAGGTTGCAATAAGATTTCATACGCAAAGCACGCTCAGCGCCGGTAGCATTTGTACGTCACGTTGTTTGATAGAAGTCATTCTAATAAGTTGTAATAGTTAACCTTTAGCTTTGAAGACAACTGCGAACACGTATATGTTCCGCGCTGACGGTGCACAGACTACCTTAAACCTTCGGAGACGTCCTTTTATTTGCATGCACTGCATATCTGTCGTGCCGACAAAACAGCAAAACATGCCCTCTACAAGTCCTGGCAACATTACAAATGGAAGATGGATGGGTCTATCTTCCGCCATGACTTTCTGATTATATCCTCTTTTTACCGCAGACGATCAGACACACTACTAGATGTACGTGGCGTTTAACTTTATATGAGATTAAGATTTTATGATTAAAATCACTTACCCCAAATGATTGTATCAATTGAAGATGNGGCGGGATTGACCCATTTCTTCAAATTCCTTGGCACATAAATATCCAGAAAAAGGCAATCCTCACTGGTGAAATTGTGCTGAATTCTAGCTTTAAATACTTCTGGGTTCATCCGTTGTTTCCACAGCGTTGTATTTTGGGGGCAAATATTTCCATGTTCTACTACATCCATGATACGATTCCACCCTAAGTGAGGTACAGGGGGACGAAATCGTAGATGTCCAATAGGAGGAGCGGCATATGGGAGACCAAGAAACTGACTGATGTAGGCTTTGGGTTGTCCCACTCCTTTTTCTACAACCTCCCCTCGCACTTGGCCGCTGTTGGTCGCAATAATCACGTAATCTTTCAGTGCCCATGTCACCGATACCGCAGTAGTCAAAAATACCAGTAGGTATAGCACCGTTGAAGCTACGTTATACATGTTTTAAAAGTCAACCACCTGGTTTGATGTTACGATATGCTTTTTAGAGTTCCCAACTTTTACCTTACTTACAGAATGCCGCCACTATTCTTACCCATAACGGCTCAGGATGTCGTCAGCTGAATTCCACGCAAGGCATGGGAGCGGGGCGGATGTCCTCAGTTCTGCTGAAAAAGTCCGAGAACAAATCCACAACCACGGTCCTCCTTTAAGTCATGCCAACGCGATAGTCTACCACAGGTAACAAACGACTTGCGTGACCTACATAGCCTCTCTACCTGTAATCAAAAATAGAGGCTGGATTATGTTTATTCATGACGTATATCAAGTGACGCTAAATCAATGGGGTCAACACAATGCCCCCTGGTGTTGACTCTACGGAGGAGAGGCATAGATATTCCCGCATTAAAAGACAGAGAAAGAAAAACAGTAACATGCAGCGTTAAAATAACATTTACACATTTGAATTTATTTTCAAGCACAAACGACGTCGGCCGTTATTTTTGTTTCTGTCCTGAAATCACATAACACTGGATTCTAAGTCTCGTTAAGCGGATTACTTGCAGTATTGTTCGGTCGAAACACGTCTTACAGGCTCTTTTGTGATTGAAAGGACTTTAAATAACTATTCCTCTAAGTGCGAAAAAAGACTTTGTGAATTTTACTATAATGAACAAAGTTTCACAAGTTAACTTTCATTATTGAACAGGACGCAAACACGGACAAATATCTCAAATGTTTCTTCAGCTGTGACGCATTTTTTAAGTCAATAGCTAGTTAAAATTCTTCAACTGGGATAATAGAGTTCTAGGCCCTTTTAGGCATTATCCGAACAAAGTTGATTAAAGTTTCAGGGTCAGGACTTAAAAAAGGAAAGTATATCGTAAAGGTGATGCCATTTCCCGGCCGGTTATGTTACCCTGGATTGAGCCTATTAGCCGACTTGACATGACATGTTTGTAACTACGATCCAGCGTAAGACATCTTATGTTGGATCTAACAGGTTGCAATAAGATTTCATACGCAAAGCACGCTCAGCGCCGGTAGCATTTGTACGTCACGTTGTTTGATAGAAGTCATTCTAATAAGTTGTAATAGTTAACCTTTAGCTTTGAAGACAACTGCGAACACGTATATGTTCCGCGCTGACGGTGCACAGACTACCTTTAACCTTCGGAGACGTCCTTTTATTTGCATGCACTGCATATCTGTCGTGCCGACAAAACAGCAAAACATGCCCTCTACAAGTCCTGGCAACATTACAAATGGAAGATGGATGGGTCTATCTTCCGCCATGACTTTCTGATTATATCCTCTTTTTACCGCAGACGATCAGACACCTACTAGATGTACGTGGCGTTTAACTTTATATGAGATTAAGATTTTATGATTAAAATCACTTACCCCAAATGATTGTATCAATTGAAGATGCCCTACAATAGTAGAATAGTATAAGTGTGGTTGAAAATAAGCAAGTAAGAGATTGAGATAAGTGCTACCCGACCAGTGCTTGAACCGCACCGCCTCAGGGGAAAACTAGCAGACAAAAGCTTGGTAGTTAAAATTTGAGCAGGCGTTAACAACGGCGCTGTCAGGTAGTCTAGTTTGGTGGCTAGTTGTTTCAGGTATTAAAAATGAACTTGCTGTGTATGCTTCAGAAATATGTTATTTATATATATATATATACATTTATAGCTATGTTTTTCAAGCGCAGTGAAAGATATTCCCTGTCACTTAACGAGCGGAGACAGAAATATACTACTTTAAGCCGCCCATCCGTGCTAACTTGCACTCAAAACCTCAATAATCTACATTCCTAGTATAAGGACTGACTGACACGTGTGCATTCGTTAAATACACCTATGTTTCGACACAAGACAACTGATGGACCTGACACTGACAGGTCATAATTAGTACATATCAATCCAATACTTACTTGAACCTTTGCGATGATCTGCCCTTTTGAGCGTTAAGGAGGAGATGGGATCACAACATCCCAGTGTTCTGACTCCTGTGGAACGCAGCTGCTGTTTTAACATGATGCAACATAACAAAGTGTGCACTGTTTCTGACTCTATTACAGAGCTATTAATAACAAACAGATGACAGAAAACTAGTTTTCCATTTTGAAAGAAAAGCTGATGTACATCTGACCGTGCTCATTCCGTTTGGCTTCTAAATAAATGGAATTTTGCAATAATTTCATTAAGACATTTATTTAGGTGTAGCTATTGATTAACATCTGACGCGATTATTTTGATATTTATATTGACACAGATGATTTAAAAACGAAAGATTGCTATTTGGTTGATGTCGGGTTAAAAAACTCCACATGCTCATCTCTTTAGATCATCTTTTTAATTTCTTTAAATCTTGACTGGATAGTAATGTAATTCGTACTATTTGCGATCAAATGTACATTCTGAAGACCATCAGTAATAGCTTTAGTGTAAAGTAATAGATTAGCAGATTAGCCATTCGAAAAAATAACACCAGAGGAGGATGCCTAAGGGTCTGATGTAGTGTTAAGAAAATAAGATTTAGCGATTCCAAAATGATCCATTTATTTAAGCCTGCAGTGACTGTCAAACACATCACTATTGTTGTGGTATGTCTTTCAACACAACGGAAAGATGATTACGCAAGTCATCAGCGATCCTTCGTCTGGAACGGGTCAACGAAGGTTCGAAGGTTACAACAACGTCTCGGCTGACGTCTTCTGTTACGGCTACGTCAAGCCAACACCGCAATCCTTTGTGAAGTTTTTTGTGTGGTTTTGAATGGCTCAGTCAACAAAAGCAACAAACAGAAGAAATGGAATTTCCATAACAGTCAGAAATTCAAACTGAGGTTTGAAACGCTTTCCAACTATGCTGAAAATCAGGATCTCAAGCACGTTGCGGAAAATGAAAATGAATACTGTAGGCCTACTGACTTATTTTTTTCTTCTCAAGCAAAAAAGAATTCAACACATCCTCTCTAAAGGGCATTGAAATCGTTTTATCTCTTTATCGACATATTATATTTAAAGTAAAAAAGTAGGTACATGTAACATTGCAATATGTAACCACCTGATCACCCATACTAAAATCCATGAATTTCGTTATTCTAACAAAGAAAGCAAAAAATTAAATCATCTGCATCAGCTGAACACATCGAAGAAAATGAAATATCTACATTACAGCTACTGCATAAAAATTATCCAAACCTTAAGTACTAGTACAGACTTTATACCTTTATGATGAATGATTGAGAAAGTACAAACTATGCTTGTTAAATGGCCTTTCAGCATGTACACTATCGTGTCCACGATTTTCTTTCCTTTTTCAGATACTGTCTCATAATAGTCAATTTGAGCACTTAACTATTTATCAAACACGTCCACCATTTGCAGTGTCATCGTAGACAGAGGTGAGGCCGGTGCAGTTTTAATGTTGTTCGAATTCATGTCTGGTGTCTGGTCCACAGGCTACCAGGTACCTGTTCTACTTGGTATTAATATGACTATGTCGAACCTGAAGGTAGGCGGTTGGATACCGTGTTTTAGTCAGGTTGCCAATCAAGGGCCATGTTTACATTGATCAAGTGCTACAACATTTGTCTCAAGATTATATGAGTTCTCTTTAAACCGTACTAAAAGCAGTATTTTTGCTAGTACTAGCATTGAAGAACCAGATCAAATTGTTTATGACTACTTTTTATATTTTATTTTCCTCTTCTTTTTTATTTTCCTTACTTGCTTCTCCTTTTTTTGTTTGCTTTTGTGTGTGTGTGTGTGTGTGTGCGTGTGTGCGAGCGCGCGCGCGCGTGTGTGTATAAAATTGCATTTTTTGTTCATTATGGAGAGCATATAGTGCTAAGAGTGATATGCCTCCTTTAAAACTTGTTTAGAAAAGCTGGATAATTTGCCTAAGCGGGAGGACTAGATAGCAATGTAAAAGTACATGTACATCGCTCTGACTGCTTGTAGGGTTTCATAGCCTGGGGGTTGAGGAGTTTTTTTCAAGAGGCTGACGCCACCAATCTTTTATTTCGTACCTGAGAGTTTTTGGTAACATCCCCAATACTACTCGACTTGTAACGTTAGCTGAGCTCTTCAGAGCCTAGGCAAGTCCGACTGTGAACCACCACTTTTCGGTTACTTACACACGCACATTCAACCGAATTGCGATAGTTGCGATCCAACACAATTATCAAAATTAGGAGCTTTTTCTCTCGGCTATAATGTAATCGCGTTCTTTACCTTGATTTCCGTTGATATCAGCACACCTGAACACAAGGGATTGCCATATAATGGCAGGAGATGCGAAGAAGTATGCAATATTGATGCATGACATTTTCAGACGGAATTTCTTTGATATGCACTATATTATTGATTGCCAATAGCAAGATAATATATGATGTTGCCAGCAATCTATCTAGAATACTGGGTCATGTTCATTACCTAAAAATAATATCAAACTTTAAAAAGTGTAAAAAAAATGAATCCTAATGGTCTCAAATATGTTTCAGCCTATCACCTTACAATATCTAAAAAGCTTCCACCTGAAGCTATTGTAAAGAGTAAATAGCACGAACACAATGTCAAAATGTCAGTCCATACCCTCCCTATTTGTCGTGTCGGATTAACAGTAAATACTGGTTGGTTCTTACGAATATGTCCTGTTAATGTGTACCCGTACTATCAGGTTATCACCAGAAAGGTGTTGCACCTGGGAGGTTGAGCAGTCCGATAGGAAGAACATTTTGCAGCTGCGAGTGCTCATAACTTTAATACCGTTTGACACACACACACACACAGAGAGAGAGAGAGAGAGAGAGAGAGAGCGAGAGAGAGACCGTCAGTCTACAGCGAGTTCATTAACAAGGAAAGCAATGCTGACATAATGTTTGTTCAACTACTAGCCTTTTTGAGTTTTATAAAGACCCCTCAGCTGCGTTCAACGATCTCAATGATAAAAAGCCAGTGATTGTTCAATTTTCAAGCTGGTGTCCACGTAACCATAATAGTAGTTATTAGGTTATACTCTACGGGTTGTGTTACTGTCTTTTTGAATGATCTAATAAAATATCTTTATAAATGATTTAATGTGGAGGCATGTATCGTGTTGCAGAACTCGCCGCTCGTACTTCGTATCGTGACTTTGATATAACAAACAGTTAAACAAATGCACTCGTTGGCAAGATCGATACCACTTTCGACCAACTATATACGTAGACCTAAGACAGCTGTTGCTTCCTTTGCTATCAGTTGATGTGATATTATCCAGCATACAACAGCTGCATATATATGCCAATTGATTTTATATTGGCACTACTATTACGTGGGCGTTAACTCAATATTTTGTCTCTTGCCCCATAACAACATCTCTTTTACCTCTGACGATGTTGTACATAAAATCTCTCTCTTATGGGTGTTTGTAAGTGTGCGCTTTTTAATTCTTGTCTCTAGCATTAGCATTTATGAGCGTCAAATCATGGGACACGAAAACACGTGCAGATAAAATAGGTGTAGGCTTATTACAAATTGATGCATGAGTAAAAGTAGGTCATCTCAGGTATTACAAACAATCATTGTCACGAGGAAATGTGTCACAGGTACCAAATCCTTTGATAAATTTACAAAACAACTATTATACAAATAATGGACTGCGTTATGCTCTCTTGACAATGCATTTAAGACTGCACCTATTTTTTGTTAGCTACGACGAAAATCAATACGCAACAAAACATGTTAAATGCGTACAAATCTAAGCTTAAATTGGATTGTACAATACAAGGAATAGGTTTCTAGGAGACAGATCCGTACTTACCCACTGCTCATGCGCCTTTCATTTGTACGTTGTCCTGTACCGTCCTGCCGCTACTCCAGCCATGGCATCATACGACGGCTCTACAGACGAGTTAAAAAGGGAGAGATGCATTCAGGAGCTGGCCGCTTTAATCCAAAATGGCGAAATTGATTATCCTTTCAAGAAGTTTTACCTTCAAAAGGAGAATTTGATTCAGAGCTTCCATGAACTAAAGGCGTATCGATTTTCTGGCCGTGAGTATGATTCAAACTTTGAATCGCCATTTAGATTGATCCATAATCCTTCACATGATGCTTCCGACCCAAATTTTATGGATGACACTGCTAGGAAGCCCAGGCAGTATCGTCTGCTACTAATGGACGACGATGAAGAATATATATACTTCAACTTTACAATAATGTCGGACTATTTCCAGGAACATGTGCGAGTTCGGGCCAAGCGTTCCGATATGCGTTGGTCGCCCATGGAAGCGTGGTTGACAAAAGGAGCAGAGGCAATAAGGGAGGCTTTGCAACGCGCGTCAAGAAGCTATAAAGCCCCCATGTTCAGGACGCAGTCAAAATGTTTGAGAGACTTGTTCAGCTCACGGGTGACAATGGCACACGAAGACCGCCGGGTAACAACGGTGTCTGTGTATGATATTCGGGAAGCTATCTACAGGCTGTGGAGGGGAACTGCAAAAGAGGCAGCACAGTTCAGACCCACACTAATGGTGGAGCTTGTGAAGCGTTTCAAGTCAACACGTGTGCTTGATTTTTGTGCGGGTTGGGGTGACAGACTAATAGGGGCCATGGCAGCAGAGGTTGATTTTTACTGCGGAGTGGATCCTAATTCTGAATTAAGTAAAGGCTACGCGGAAATAATACAGACTTTTCAACCGCTAGTGCCTGGTTTGAAATGTGCACCAGACGACATTAAAGACTTCCGCGGCAACAGGTTATCACGCTTTCATATGATATCACTTCCATTTGAAAAAGACTCCACTCGCATACCTCGCGCCAATTATGACCTCATATTTACGAGCCCACCATTTTTTAATCTTGAAAAATACTGTGACGAACCGAGCCAGTCTATTAAAGCATATCCCGAGGTTGATGACTGGTACCACGGATTTTTATTGCCAGCAATGATAAAGGCATGGTCATTACTAAGGGAAGGGGGCTACTGTTGTATTCACTTAAACGACTGTCGATCTAGTGATCATTCCATGATTCAGTACACAGAGAGACTGATAAA